GAAGGGGCAGCCAGAGATTCAAGGGGCAGGTATGATGCCCATCCAGAGCCCTCCGCTGGCTCCGAGAACAAGGGCTGGGGCGATGTGCAGGCCATAAGCCCCGGCAAGGGTCTGTCCCTGCCCCTAGGACACTACTCCGTCATGGCTGGCACAGACGAGCCCTGGACAGAATGTTTATTTCGTGGGCTCCGAGTATCAGCTCTGGGCCCAGCCAGCCTTTTTAAGATAACGGTCCCACCATTGTATCAGCTGGGACTTAACTTTTTGGTGCCTCAGTTGCCCCTTCTGTGAAGGGCAGATGATAAACCAACCTCAAGAGGGACCTGAGGTTAACTGTGAGGAGCGCTAAGAAGTACAAATGAGAAGCATTCAGTATGTGGTGGCTGTTTATATTAAGCTTAGAGCCGAATGCACAGTACATGGTAATTCAGTGCACCCTTTGGGGAACAGCCTTTCAGAGCCAGCGAAGAAACAAACCCCTGTTTTCTCAATTTGGGGAGGGGGCGTCACTGCCGGTGGTGTTCGCCTTCCCCAGGTTTTCTCCTGGGTGGGTCTCTGGGGAAGGCTGTGTAGCACTGCCCCCTGTGGTAGGCAAGGGTAATTTCAGGGTCATGTTGGGTGGGAGCGGTCCCAGGAGCCCTGATCCCCTTGCCATCTCGCCCCCCTCGCAGATCTACCGGAGGTGCTGGCTGGTGTTCCGGAAATCCTCCAGCAAGGGGCCCCAGCGGCTGGAGAAGTATCCTGATGAGAAGTCCGTGTGCCTCCGAGGCTGCCCCAAGGTTAGGGGTCTTGGGCCCTAACTGGCCCAGGCTGTAAGCAGTGATGATTTGCAGAGTCCTGAGGTCTGCGAGTACCCTCCTGGGGGGTGGCATAACTTGGGGGGCAGGGGATGTAGTGGGAGGCACTCCAGCCTGGCTTAGTCCCTTGTGGATGCTGTCCCAGGTGACCGAGATCAGCAACGTCAAGTGTGTCACAAGGCTCCCCAAGGAGACCAAGAGGCAGGCGGTGGCCATCATATTCACTGACGACTCGGCGCGTACCTTCACCTGCGACTCAGGTGAGGAGCTGGGGCTGCAGGCTTCCATCCATCCAGCCTGCCCCGGGCCAGTCATGGTCCAGCGGTCCAGCCGGGAGGAGGCAGAGCAGGACCAGACCCGGCTTGGTATGATACGTTGGGGTGAAAGTAGGGGAGGAAGCAGGTTCCCAGGACAAGGTGAAACAGGCAGGCCGAATCCACTGGCCTTGTCCTCTCTGCCCTGCACAGCGGGACACTTCAGGCTGAGGCAGAAAGGGTGGGCTGCTGGGGGACCCTGGGCTGGCACGAGGTACCACTTTCTCTAGAGCTGGAGGCAGAGGAATGGTACAAGACGCTGTCCGTGGAGTGTCTGGGTTCACGACTCAACGACATCAGTCTGGGAGAGCCAGACCTCCTGGCCCCAGGAGTGCAGTGCGAGCAGACAGGTGAGGCCTGGTGCTGGCAGGTGGCCGGGAGGGGAGGGGGAGGGAGGAGAGTCCTCCCCTAGGGAGGCTCCAGGCCTGCTCCTCTCCCACTCCAGACCGCTTCAACGTCTTCCTCTTGCCCTGCCCCAACCTGGATGTGTATGGCGAGTGCAAGCTGCAGATCACCCACGAGAACATCTACCTCTGGGACATACACAACCCCCGCGTGAAGCTTGTCTCGTGGCCCCTCTGCTCACTGCGTCGCTATGGCCGGGATGCCACACGCTTTACCTTTGAGGCTGGCCGGTAGGACCCTCTCGCCTCCCCCTACCCTGACCCACTGTGGTCATGTTGTTGGCTGCCATTCACTCTGTCACGCACGGTGCTGGGAGCTTTAGTTTTTTATCAGCGTAGAAAACCAGAAGGGAACCTAAGATTCCCATTTTACAGCTGAAGACATTGAGGCTCACGCCAGCCAGGTCAAGTGCAGCTGTTTACCAAAAGTCAAACTGCTTGTGCTCAAGTCAGAGCTGGTGCTTAGAGGTGTGGACCAAGGCTTCGTTTCTTCAGTCAAATAGGGGATCATAAAAGTACCCACTCTGTAGAATGATGGTGAGGACTGGGTAACCTAGAGCTTGAACTCTGGAGCCAGCGGGCCCAGACTTAACATTGTGCGTGATCCTCTGTATAACCCGGCTTCGGTTACCGACCTTCTCGTGCGCCTGTTTACTCATCTGCAAAATGGTTTGAGAAAACCTGGAATAGAGGAAACCGTGCCGGTGCACAGACCAGAGGGTGAGAGAGAAGGCCGAGTGGGCGGAGTCTTAGAAAGCACTGAGCTCCTCTGGGACCCAGAAACTGCCAGGCAGGTTGGGGCTGTGTGGACAGCCCCACCTGCTCCCCAGAAGGCACAGGATGCAGCTAGCGGGTGGTGCCGGAGCGCCCGGCCAAACACGTGTGTAACCCAGTCCCCAACACCTCGCCCTCTGTGCCTCTCGCGTGCCTAGGATGTGCGATGCTGGGGAAGGGCTGTACACTTTTCAGACCCAGGAAGGGGAACAGATCTACCAACGGGTCCATAGTGCCACCCTGGCCATTGCTGAGCAACACAAGCGTGTCCTGCTAGAGATGGAGAAGAACGTGCGGGTGAGGCTCTGGGTGTCAGCCAGTCTGGGGTGCCAGTGAGGCTGGAGGGTGGGCGTCTAGGAGGGAGCCACAGCCCCCAGAGCTAATGGGAGGGACCCGCCCTTCTCCACCCCACAGCTGCTGAACAAGGGCACGGAACACTACTCATACCCCTGCACGCCTACCACCATGCTGCCCCGCAGCGCCTATTGGCACCACATCACAGGCTCCCAGAATATCGCCGAGGCCTCTAGTTACGCCGGTGAGTCCCTGTGGGGCCCCCTGCTCCCTGGCCACCAGGATCTGCAGAAGATGGGGGCCCGCTGACCTGCACCCAAGGCCTGAGCCCGCCTCTGTATCCACAGGTGAGGGGTATGGGGCAGCCCAGGCCAGCTCAGAAACAGACCTCCTCAACCGATTCATCCTGCTAAAGCCAAAGCCCAGCCAGGAGGACAGCAGCGAGGCCAAGACCCCAGCCCAGTGACAGCAGGGCTGGTGCACGGCAAGGACTGCTGTGGGGCCCTGTGGCAGGGCCGCCTGCAGCCTACTGTGGACAGCCTTGGGGGCTGCTGGCCAAGAGCCTGGAGAAATGGAGCAAGCTGTCCTTTCCCTCCTCCTCCCAGGGGTGAGGCTGGACCAAGGCACAGGGCTGGCCACACCAGCAGAGCATGTGCAAGGGGCTGGAGCTACTGTGGGACTATATACTGTTAATGATTTTAATATATATGGCTTATGACATTCTATATTAATGAGATTCCCCCCCACCTACACATTTTTTAATCCCATGACCAGGTCCCGGTCAGGCTGTTTTTGAACATGAGGGCAGCTGTTCCTGTCCTCTGTGGGACAGCTCCCCCTTCCCCCCACTGCCCGGACGCGCTGGAGCTGCCGGGGCCTGAGGTGGTAGCCAGCTCTCCCTAGGCAGCCCAGCGGCTACAGCGGCAGGTGGCTTCTCCCTTCCTCTGGGCCTGGAGCAGCAAAGGAAGGATCAGAGCTTCTATGGTGCCACGCGGCAGCCTTGCACTTGGGAGTTTTAAACCGATGACATCTGGTTGATACCTCAGGTGAAAATCTGGTTTTAAAATGTAGTTTTTGCCAAGGCTCCTTCCTGCTTAGTATGCTCAGAAGATACCCCAGGGCCAGGGGTGCTGGTTCCCTCAGCCAGGCGGAGGGTGGCCAGTCCCAAGCTCTTCCCTGCCCGAGGGCTGGCCGGGGAAGGCAGGACTGCTGTGGGGAGCACCCCTGCTGCCCCCCTCACTGACCGAAGGCAGGCGAGGGCCCAGCAGACGGAGCCCCTCTGCCCAGTTTGGCCACCCTCTGGTTAGCCTAAAGCACTCAGAAACGGAGCCCTTCCCACTTCCTCTTCCCCACATGGTGCTGAGGCTCCCTGCTGAAATGCAATTAAAGCAATTGATTTTCTAGTGCTGGTATTTATTGCCTACCTTGCAGAAGGGCTATCTTTATATTCCCATCAAACCTTTGGTTGCGTGTGTGGGTTTTTGTTTTTTAATACTTTTGGGTTCTGATTTGTGGGAACAGACCCTGTTGTAAATAACCACTATTCAAGTTGTGGCAGGACGATCCAGCCAGAGGCCCCTCCTGGAGAGCCCTGGATCTGGGGAGGGGGCCACAGCCAGCTCGGCTCCAAACCTGACCCAGGGAATGACCACCCAAAGGCCTGGGAGAAGGAGGCAGGGCCGGGCTGGCTCAAGTTAGTGGCACGATGACGCATGAAGGAGATTATGTTGTGCTCTTTATTGCCAAAAATAAAAACTTTTAAAAAAGACAACACCTGTTAATAAATATCCCTTCCTTTCTGTAGCAGGTCTCCAGTTTTCTCCTGGCTTCTCCTTCTAGATGGCCTAATTAATTGCTTTGGGGGTGATTCTACCTCTAGGGCTAAGGGGTCAAGGCCAGACCTCCCTTAAGGCCCTTGCTCCCCAGCCTGTGAACTTAAATAATCAGGCCCCTGGTAGTGAATGCAGATACACAGGGGAGGGGGGCAGCCACAGTCTTAACACCATTTACTAAGGGTTCTCAAGTCTGGGCCACTTGGGGGTTTGAGTGAAATGCCTATAGGCTGGCTTGGGCCAAGAGCTGGACTGATAGCTCCAGCACTCAGTCCTGATGCCAGAAGCCCAAGGTACAATGGTGAGAACTTTTAGAAAGGGGCTAAAGACCTGAAATGACCAGAAGAGGTGAGTCTTACCCTGCAGTTCTCACCCTACCCAGGTATGTCAGGAAACCGGCTGAAGGGATGGTCTGGGATGCTGCTGGCAATCAGGGGGCAGGGCCAGGATGCTAATGTCTAGTAAAAACCTGTCTGGACTCATACCAGTGGCACCCCAGGGCCATCTGTCCACAACGGAGCAAAGCTGGGAAGGGACCCCTCCACCTTCAGCTACTTTCCTACGGTTACTGATGGCTTGAGTAGCCTGAGCCCCAGCTGTCTACCCCAGAGGCTACAGGTATCTCTGGAGAGACTGGAGAGCCAGCTGCTGGTCTAGAACCCCTCTTGCTGGAACAGGTGAGCTGCCGCTAGTTTATGGTCAGAACATCACTCTGGATCTCGTGGCTTAACTGGGTCTGTAAGTCACTCAGCTTCTTCTTCAATCCAGAGAGGGCTGAGAGGACAATGGTTTCAGGACGCAGAGAGCCACAGGACTCCACATTGTAGTAAAACCTAAGAGGAAGAGTCGGGTGAAGAGCCCTCCATGAGGCTGGCCGGCTAGCCCAAGCTTCAGCCCTGGATCATGCTCGCTCCCTTCTGGGTCCGGACTCCCTTTCAGCCTAGAACGTGGCTTTGGCCCAGAGCTGAATTCCGGCCTCTTCCTAACAGCAGTCCTACTGCACACTAGAGGACTTCAGGAAGGCCAAGCCCCCTCAAAACGCTTGCTGTTCGCCATCAGAAGACTGGTCTCTTTCTCGCTCTGGGCTGGTCCCTGCTCTGGGGACTGAGTCGGTAGCCGCAGAGTCAGAGTGGCTAACTGGAGGGCTCGTCCGTCCCCCAATGATGAGGGGAGGATAATCTGCCGCGGACGTGCACACGGCACGGGCTCTGCAGTTCTCCATCCTGCCTCAGCTCCCGGGCACCAGGATGTCTCCCCGGCTCAGGGCCTGCACCAAAACCCTATGTTCTTCCACGCTCCACCTTCAGGTGCCAGACGAGGGTCTTACCTCTCTGGCTTGCCATTGGGGTCGTAGGGAGCCTGGGACTCATCTTCATCCAGCTCGGAGTACTCGCTCTTCGGCCTGCGATCAAACACCGGTCAGCAGGGGCCGCTACTGAGGCTGCCTGCGGTGAGGCTGCCCCCACCCCACTGCCTCGGAGCCACGTCCACACCAAACCCCCGGAAAGGCCTGCCCTCGCTCCCAACAAGAACTTACCACTCCTCGGGCTTGGGGTACACCGTGTGCCGCAGGGCATTGTCAGGATCATATTCAAAAGCCACCCCTGCAGTAGGGTTCCACTTGGCATGCTCCTTGCCAAAGCCCTTTTTGGCATAGGCTCGAAGTCTTAGCTCCTGGCCTTTCCTCAGCTTGACAATGAGGATGTCTGCGGGGAGAGGTGTAAGTCAGCCAAGGGCCAGCAGACACACGGTCCCCTGAGTTTTGACGTGGAATGCCACTGGAAAACCACAGAATCCGGACAAATAGCTCAAGGTCAGCTGACAAGGAGACCAGGCACCGTGAGAGGCCGTGTCAGGTCTCTGTCTCCGACTGGCCTGCAAATTGACAGGTCAGTAGACATTCGCACGCGCCCTCCAGCCCCTTACCATCCTGTTCCACGTAGTCATTGGGGTCATTATCTCGGTTCCGAGAGGTCACCTAGAGGGAGCCCAAACAGAGGCAGGGGTTAGCGGCTCGTCTTCCCAATTACCTCTTCCAGCAACAATGTTCGAGCACCTGCCACACCAGGCCAGGAGGCCTAGGAATGGGGGCGGGGTGGGGGGGGGAGTGCCTCCTAGGGCTAGATCGGAGCTGGGGCTGGACTCTGATGCCCATCTCCAGGCATGGGGACAACTTTCTCAATCAAAAAGGTGCCATGGCCTTTAAAAGGGTGCTTGGGGGACACAGGACCCCAACAGTGCTACTGTTCACACTAGCTAGTATCCAGAATTATTAGTACTTTTCAGACCCCAGACTGAGGAAAGCAGAGGGTAACAAGGGAAACCGCATCTTGTAACACCGCCTGAGTCTGGCCCACTTGGAGCTCAGAGGAGGAGGACAAAGGTGCTGGGTAAGGAGGATGTGGTGAGACACTAACTGGAATGACCCGGGGGCTATTGGAGATGAGGTCTCGAGATGTGACGTGACGAGTTTGGTCTTCATTGCACCGCACGTCTAGGGTGAACTCCACTGAGCACTCGGGGCAGAACTCCTCACACGTGCAGTCCTGAGGGAGGAAGAGAAGCTGGAAGGGGTCCATGGAGAGATGGGGAATCCTGAGCTCCCCGTTTCTCATACCTGATTCCTTCCCTTTCTCCATCTATAAAACAGCCAGCCATGGGCTCTAGGCTCTGGTGAGCCATGTCCATCTGGTACACATTCTCAGGGGCTGCTCAATGCAGGCACGTCCCAGTTTAGAGACCACCTATATCCACTGATGCCCACATTCTCCTTCCACCTCCGCCAGCTGCCAAGCGGAGTGCTAATAGCTCACCCTGGCCCCTGGGGTGCTCTTCTACAGAGAATCAAGGCGTTGAGAGAATGATGCTTTCATGCATCATAGGGCTTCCCCTGAACTAAGTGGACTGACTTGAGCAGGTCACCAGCATTTAAAATAAAATGATCCAGAGCATAACACAAAAAAGTACATTTCAAGGTCTAAACTACTTACCTTAAAAACAAAATCTCTCCCTTACGGAAAATTTCACAGATTCGAAAGAACAGAGCAAGTATGAAAGGCTACGACCAGGGCGCCTGGAAGGCTCAGTGGGTTAAACCCTCTGCCTTCGGCTCAGGTCATGATCCTGGGGTCCTGGGATCGAGCCTCGCATCGGGCTCTCTGCTCAGCGGGGAGCCTGCTTCCTCCTCTCTCTCTCTGCCTGCCTCTCTGCCTACCTGTGATCTCTGTCAAATAAATAAATAAATAAATAAATCTTAAAAAAAAAGAAAAGAAAAGAAAGGCTATGACCATGTAACCATCACTGGTTTCAATAATTATCCACAGTTCTTTAAGCAGCTGATGCTGGAAACAACTCATTCCTCTTGTAGGGACCACCACCTACAGTGTAACTTCACGCAAGAAGATTTACTGGAATGTAACTAAGCCAACTGTTCTCCCCCTCACACCAGCAGGAAACTTTAACCTGATTCTGATGTTTTTGAGATGAGGAGGAAGAACGAGGGGCCACACCTGGATAGTCTGCAGTCATACACAGGTGAGGGGATACCCAGCTGGCTCAGTCCATGGAGCATGCGACTCTCGATTTCGGGGTCGTAAGTTCAAGCTCCACATTTGGTATAAAAATTAAAAAAAAAAGGGAAGACCCATTAATATACTGTCTGCGAGACTCATTTCAGAAACAAAGACACCCCCAGATTTAGAGTAAGGGGCTAGAAAACCATTTACCATGCTAATGGACATTGAGAAAAAGCTGGGGTGGCCATCCTTAGACAAATTAGATTTTAAACCAAAGACTAATAAGAGATGAAGAAAGACACTATATCATACTTATTCTTAAAGGTCTATCCAACAAGATCTAACAATTATAAATATTTTTGCCCCTAACACGGGAGCAGCCAATTATATAAGCCAATTAATAACAAAATCAAAGAAACTCATCAACAATTATATAATAGTAGGAGACTTTAACAACCCCCCTCATTGAAACGGACAGATCATCCAAGCAAAAGATCAACAAGGAAATAAGGGCTTTAAATGACACACTGCACCAGTCAGACCTCACATATATTCAGAACACTCCATCCAAAAGCAACAGAATACACATTCTTCTCTAGTGCACATGGAACATTTTCCAGAATAGATCATATCCTGGGTCACAAATCACGTCTCAACCAGTACCAAAAGACTAGGATCATTCCCTGCATATTTTCAGACCACAATGCTTTGAAACTTGAACTTCATCACAAGCGGAAAGTTGGAAAAAACTCAGATACATGGAGGCTAAAGAGCATCCTACTAAAGAATAAATGGGTCAACCAAGAAATTAAGAATTGAAAAAATTCGTGGAAACAAATAAAATGAAAACACAACGGTTCCAAATCTGTGGGACACAGCAAAGGCGGTCCTGACAGGAAAGTATATAGCAATAGAAGCCTTTCTCAAGAAACGAGAAAGATCTCAAGTACATAACCTAACCCGACACCTAAAGTAGCTAGAGAATGAACAGCAAATAAAGCCCAAACCCAGCAGGAGAAGAGAAATAATAAAGATCAGAGCAGAAATCAATGAAATAGAAACCAAAAAAACAGAACAGATCCGCGAAACCAGCAGCTGGTTCTTTGAAAGAAATAATAACACTGATAAACCCCTGGCCAGACTCATCAAAAAGAAAAGAAAAAGGACTCAAAAAAATAAAATCATGAATGGAGGAGGAGAGATCACAACCAATACCAAAGAAATACAAATAATTATAAGGACATATTAAGAGCAACTATATGCCAGCAAATTAGACAATCTGGAAGAAATGGATGCATTCCTGGAGACATATAAACTACCAAAACCAAACCAGAAAGAAACAGAAAACCTGATCAGACCCATAATGAAGCAGTCATCAAAAATCTCCCAAGAAACAAGAGCCCAGGGCCAGACGGCTCCCCAGGGGAATTCTACCAAACATTTAAAGAAGAATTAATTTCTATTCTCCTGAAACTGTTCCAAAAAATAGAAATGGAAGGAAAACATCCAAACTCATTTTATGAGGTCAGCATTACCTTGATTCAAAAACCAAAGAGCCCACCAAAAAGGAGAATCACAGAGCAATACCCCTGATGAACACGGATGCAAAAATTCTCACCAACCTAGTAGCTAATAGAATCCAACAGTAAGTTAAAAGGATTATTGACCACAACCAAGTGGGATTTATTCCTGGGCTGCAAGGTTGGTTCAACATCCACAAATCAATGTGATACAATACATTAATAAAAGAAAGGACAAAAACCACATGGTACTTTCTATAGATGCAGAAAAAGCATTTGACAAAGTACAGCATCCTTTCTCAATTAAAACTCTTCACAGTGTAGGGATAGAGGGTACATACCTCAATATCATCAAAGCCATCTATGAAAAATCCACAGCGAGTATCATTCTCAATGGGGAAGAACTGAGAGCTTTTCCCCTAAGGTCAGGAACATAGCAGGGATGTCGACTATCACCACTGCCGTTCAACACAAAGTACTAGAAGTCCTAGCCTCAGCTTTCAGACACTAAAAAGAAAGAAAAGTCATCCAAATTGGCAAAGAAGAAGTCAAACTCTCACTCTTCGGAGATATGACACTTTATGTGGAAAACCCAAAAGACTCCACCCCCAAACTGCTAGGACTCATACAGGAATTCAGTAAAGTGTCAGAATATAAAATCCATGCACAGAAATCAGTTGTATTTCTATACACCAACAACGAGACTGAAGAAAGAGAAATTAAGGCATCGATCCCTCTTACAATTGCACCCAAAACCTTAAGATACCTAGGAATAAACCTAACCAAAGAGGCAAAGAATCTGTACTCAGAAAACTGTAGAACACTCATGAAAGAAGAGAGGAAGACACAAAGAAATGGAAAAACGTTCCATATTTATGGAATGAAAGAACAAATAATGTGAAAAGGTCCATGCTACCTAGAGCAATCTACGCATTCAATGCAATCCCTACAACATACCAACAACTTTTTTCACAGAAATGGAACAAATAATCCTAAAATTTGTATGGAACCAGAAAAGACCCCAAATACCCAGAGGAACGTTGAAAAAGAAAACCAAAGTTGGCAGCATCACAATTCCAGACTTCAAGCTCTATTACAAAGCTATAATCATCAAGACAGTATGGTAGTGGCACAAAAACAGACACATAGGTCAAAGGAACAGATTAGAGAGCCCAGAAATGGACCCTCAACTCTATGGTCAACTCATCTTCGACAAAGCAGTAAAGAATGTCCAATGGAAAAAAGACAGTCTCTTCAACAAATGGTGTTGGGAAAATTGGACAGCCGCATGCAGAAGAATGAAACTAGACCATTTCCTTACACCACACATAAGAACAGGCTTAAAATGGGTGAAAGTCCTCCATGTGAGACAAGAGCCCATCCAAATCCTTGAGAAGAACACAGTCAGCAATTTCTTTGAGCTCAGCCGCAGCAACGTCTTCCTAGACACGTCGCCAAAGACAAGGGAAGGAAGGCAAAAAAGAACTACTGGGATTTCATCAAGATAAAAACCTTCTGCACAGCAAAGGACACTTTTTTTTGTGGACAAAAAGTCAACAGAACCAAAAGACAACCGAAATGGGAAAATGGGAAAAGACATTTGCAAATGACATACCAAATAAAGGGCTAGTATCCAAAATCTATAAAGAATTTATCAAACTCAACACCCAAAGAACAAATAATCCAGTCAAGAAATGGGCAAAAACCACGGACATTTCTGCAAAGAAGACATCCAAATGGCCAAAGACACGTGAAAAAGTGCTCAACATCACTCGGCATCAGGGAAATACAAATCAAAACCACAGTGACATACCACCTCACAAGTCAGAACAGCTAAAATTAACAAGTAAGGAAACGAAAGATGTTGGCAAGGATGCGGAGGAAGGGGAACCCTCCTAAACTGTTGGCGGGAATGCAAGCTGGTGCAGCCACTCTGGAAAACAGTATGGAGGTTCCTCTAAAAGTTGAAAACAGAGCTACCCTATGACCTAGCAATCGCACTACTGGGTATTTACCCCAAAGATAAAAATGTAGTAATCTAGAGGGGCACCTGCACCCCAATGTTTATAGCAATGTCCACAATAGCCAACTATAGAAAGTACCCAGATGTCCACTGACAGATGAATGGATAAAGATATGGTGTATATATATGTATATACACAACGGAATATTCTGCAGCCATCAAAAAAAAGAAATCTTGTCATTTTTAACAATGTGGATGGAACAAAAGGATATTATGTTAAGTGAAATAAATCAATCACAGAAGGACAATTATCATATGATCTCACTGATATGTGGAATTTGAGAAATAAGGCAAAGGATCATAGGGAAAGAGAGGAAAAAATGAAACAAGAGGAAACCAGAGGGGGAGAGAGAACGTAGGAGACCCTCAGGAAACAAACTGAGGGTTGCTGGAGTGGAGGGGGATGGGAGGGATGGGTGGCTGGGTGATGGACATTGGGGAGGGTAGGTTCTATGTTGAGTGCTGTACCCCTGAAACAATAATACATTATATGTTAATAAAAAACAAAACCCTGAAACTGTTAAAAATATGAAATGGAAAAAAATCAAAATGTCATGGAAATTAAAAATATGAAAAGGTAGGGCGCCTGGGTGGCTCAGTGGGTTAAAGCCTCTGCCTTCAGCTCAGGTCATGGTCCCAGGGTCCTGGGATGGAGGCCCACATCGGGCTCTCTGCTCCGCAGGGAGCCTGCTTCCTCCTCTCTCTCTGACTGCCTCTCTGCCTACTTGTGATCTCTCGCTCTGTCAAATAAATAAATAATTTAAAAAATCTTTAAAAAAAAAATGAAAAGGTAGACAACCTCAACAAAATGTATGTATGACAAAAGGGGAGGAATCTGAGATTAACAGACTAAAGAGGTTAACCACCAAATGCATGCATGAATTTTGGATGAATGACCGACCCACAAACAAAAATCAAGAAAGCCCATGTGGGAGACAACTAGGAAAATCGGGATAAGGACTATGCATAAGTATAACAAATTATTGCTAATACTCTAGGCATCACAGTGTGTATGTGTGGGAAAATATCCTTACTCTGAGGACAAGCATACTAAAGTAGTGAGGGAAAAAGTGTCATGGGATCTGCAACTTTCTTTCAAATGGTTTAGCAAAAAAATGGGTAGGAAAAATAAAGCTAATATAGCAAAATATTAACAATTGACAACTACAGGTGAAAAATAAATAGCTGTTTATTATTGGAGGTTTTTAAACTTTTCTGTAGATTTTGAGAAAAAGCCAAAAAAAAGGGTAGAGGGATCTATACCATCTTTGTTTAGTAAATACTAGAAAAAAATGTAATGGACGGAATTGCTAGGTCCTGGGGCATGCGTATCTTTACCCAAGACATTGCCAAACTGTTCTTCAACTGGTTGTAAAACTATCCCCACCAATATCTGTGAGGTTTCTTTCTTTCTTTTTATTTTTCTTTAAAAAAAATTTTTTTTTATTTATTGACAGAGAGAGACACAGAAAGAGAAGGAACAGAAGGAGGGAGAATGGGAGAGGAAGAAACAGACTTCCCAGGGAGCAGGGAGCCCGATGTGGGCCTCAATCCCGGGACCCTGGGATCATGACCTGAGCTAAAGACATACGCTTAATGACTGAGCCACCCAGGCGCTCCCTGCCCCACTTATTTTTTTATAGATTCACGTATTTGAGAGAAAGACAGAGAAATGTGATACAGATAGAAAGCAGGGAGGAGAAAGAGAAGCAGGCTCCCCGTTGAGCAAGGAGCCTGATGCAGGGTTCAATCCCAGGACCCTGGGATCATGACCTGAGCCAAAGGCAGACACTTAACCAACCGAGCCACCCAGGCACCCCTGATGTTTCATTTCTTACAAACAAAAATCTGGAGATGTGAAGCAAATAGTGCCAAAATGTTAGACTATGAAAAGTTGTTTGACAGGAGCAAGAGTTCTCGTCAGAAGAGCTCCACAGTTCTGTGTTCTTAAACTTCTCTTTAAAAAAACAGATTTATAAGGTATCAAATTAGCTACCACAAAATGATGTGCCACTGGGAATATCAGAGGATGGGCTGATTCAGGATCACCCAAAGCCACCAAGAGGGAAGGGTCTCAAGCTGTTACCTAACGCAGCCCTGGAGAAAGGAAGCAGGGAACCTAATCCTGTCCCGCTCCTGCCCAGTCCAACGCCTGTTAACATATCATCAGAGAACAAACACAACCCTCGATGAAGGGGCCATGTTTAATGAGTATCATCTATGGGGAGAGGCACAGACAACAGCCTTCCAGTCCTTCAGGTTTTATTGTGGGGAACAGTTCTCACTCCCTTTGCTCTCACCCTCATGCCTCCCTAGCCCCCCAACCCTCTGCTGACTCCCTTTAGCTTCCCAGGCTCCTGTCACTGGGAAGACATACCCTGGAAAGCAGAGTCTGAACATATCAGAGTCTGAAAAGGCAGTCCCCACCATTCAGTATAAAGGGGTATTCTGGGGTGTACTCCATCTTGTGCGGCTGGCTGGAGAGACTCCCCAATGCCCTGGAGCCCCACCAATCTATGTCTGCTTGGGGACCCATGTCCACTTAGGGTCTGGGCAACAACCCCAGTCTTTCTAACAGCTAGAAGTAAGAGATCGGGACAATGCCTCTAAGAACTCAACTCTTCCACCCCCTGCCCCTTGCCCCCCTTCACCCAATCACACAGCATACCCGGGAGTACTGCAGCTTGTCCACAATGTCATCACTAGTGAGGGGGATTAGTCCTGGAAGAAACAAAGAAGCACTTTAAATAAGTCCAAATGGCCAAGCGAGAAGGAGAACCTAGAAATCCCCTTGGGAGTGAGGAGGCTTCCTCCTCTGATACCAAGCACAGTCCCCTCCCTTTCACCTTCCAAAACTCGCACTATGGGGTGCCTGGGTGGCTCAGTGGGTTAAGCCTCTGCCTTTGGCTCACGTCATGATCTCAGGGTCCTGGGAATGAGCCCCGCATCAGGCTCTCTGCTCAGCGGGGAGCCTGCTCCTCCCCCTCACCCCGCCTGCCTCTCTGCCTACTCGTGATCTCTGTCAAATAAATATATAAAACCTTAAAAAAAAAAAAAAAAAAAGGAAAAAATATTAAAAAAAAAAAAATCTGGTACTCACCAAGTCTGTGAGCAATGAACTCATCATGAAGGACTGAGGAATTGGCATCAATCTGAACCCAGTCAATGGCTAAGAAATAAAACATACAGTTTAGCCACCAAATTCACTTAAGACTTACAGCAGTGGTTCAAGATTTAAGAAACACCTGATGCTTACTAAATCGCAGAAGCGTGGGCCAGGCTGCCAAAGGCTGATTCTGCAGCTCAAGTGGGGACCAGGGATCTGCACTTTAACAAGAACCACATGCAACACCCTCCCCTCTTCCCTACTCAGGCAGATTTAATGCAGGAGAGGCCTCTTTCCCACACAAAATACTGACTTAGAAAATACCCATGGGCGTGGGAACATGTTTCTCTGAACGGAGTATCTCTGTGAGAAGCGTTTACGTCTGCTATTCATGTCAACACCAAATCCAAGAACAGGGAAAATCTCAAAGACAGACTTATGGTCCCTATCTCATTTTATGATGCAATGACCAGATTACCCAACTCTAACACTTTATTGTCACACAACCAACTAATGTTTAGAGAATTCCTTTAATGGGCACAGTACGCTGAGTATCAAACCGAATTCTTACCAGCAATGACTAAAAGAAGAGTTAAGAATTGTACGGACACACACGCTTGACTTAAGCACATACTCATTCATTCATTCACAAATAAACATCTGCATTCAGACAAATTCATAAATCAAATGGCCAACCACCAAAGGGCGTGGACACTAGGAATGGAAGAAGTCAGAAGAGGACCAGCCAGTTAGGACCCAATCTGCTTTGTCCTATGCTTTTTACTGCTTCCCCAACCCAAGCCAAAGGACCATGAGCCAAGCATTTCTGACTCTGCCTCCTTATTCCCTCCAAGCCCCTCCCCCAATCTCACATGCCCTGATCCTCTCCCTTGCAGGTAAAATCCTCTGAGCCTCCTACAAAGCTTTGCTTGATCTCCAAGATACAGATACCAACACTCCCTCCCTACAAGCTCCTCCCTCACAAAACTGTCCAGACTAAAGACACTTGTCATATATACAGATATTTTTTAAAGATTTGTTTTTGAGAGAGATGGAACGAGTGCGGGACGGGCAGAAGGAGATTCCACGCTGAGCTCAGAGCCTGATGCAAGACTTGATCTCACAACCATAAGTTCATGACCTGAGCCAAAAATCAAGAGACGGGGTGGGGGGGGGGTGCGGTGAAGCACCTGGGTGGCTCAGTGGGTTAAGTCTCTGCCTTCGGCTCAGGTCATGATCTCAGGGTCCTAGGATTTAACCTCGCGCATCAGGCTCACTGCTCCTCGGGGAACCTGCTTCTCCCTCTCCCTGCCTGCTGCACCCCTGCTTGTGTGCTCTGTCAAATAAATAAAATCTTAAAAAAAAAAAAAAAAAGTAACAAAAAAAACAAAGATCGACTCCCTTATTTTACTCATGATGAAACTGAGGCACAGAAATATGAAATGATTAGGGAGGGGGAGGACCAGCACTCTAAGCTCTAAGTGAAGAAGTGACTGGACATGCTTAGCGGTGGAGACAACTGTTCGCTGTTCACCAATCCTTTGGCCTGCTTACTTCCTTAGGAGTGCAGCAGATAGGAATTACACTTCTTTTCCCAACCCAAACTCTGAGCGGACACTCAGAAAGTGTAACATACTTATAAATGTGAAAAATACCTGGGGCAGGGTGGCTGGAAGCACAGCAGATCCTCCTTCCCCTGGGCACAGCAACAGCACTGTGGTTCTACTTTTGAACTACTTACTGATCCACGTCTATCCCGCAGTACTGTTATCTGTGGATTCGCCTTTGCCCTGTAACTGCACTGTGCGCTCCATGAGGGCAAGAACCCTGCACTATTTAGCTACGCATTCTCAGTTCCTAGCACACTGCCTGGCACTTACATGTTCCGTGAGTGCAGCTGAAGAAACGGGCTCGTAAAAGGAACTTACTGGGCACTAAACACAAATTCCCTCACTTAATCCTTGCCATCACTCTGTAAGTACTACCAATGTCCCAACGTTACAGAGAAAACCACAGCAATTTAAGAGTGGGCCCTAGTGTCCCTGAGCCAAGGGTACAACACTGCTGTCTTCTCAGAGCCCCTCCCAGCTACCCCCGCCCCCAACCAAGCGCTAGGAGCAGGATCCCCAAGGTGTGCGGAGGGATCTGGCCACCAAAGGCGGATTTTACTTACCTATTATGGGCACCTCGGCGATGAAGACCCTTCGTATAGAGTTAGCTACCCTAAGGGATGAAAACCAAGCGGCATGAAGGCGCCGCATCTTGGACGCCGATGCCCCGCGCCCACGGTTCCCCAAAGCGGAAGCCCCACTACAGGGACCCAGCTCAGAAAGGACGCGACCCGCCGCCCGGCCCGGGCTCCAGCCCCGCGCGTCCCAGGCTCCAGCCCCGCGCGTCCCACAGCCGCCAGCCTCTTTCCTCAGAGGTCTTACGCCAGGTCCGTGTTCTCGATGATGAACTTGACATTCTCATCGGTGAGCTCCGTGATCCGCACAGTGGGCTGGTTGGCATACGGCATCGTGCCTCACGACCCACCAGCTCCCGGGCTTCAGCGGCGCTGCGCCACGGCCCCCGCCGCCGGCGGAAGTGGGTCAGCGCGGGCCGCGCCGCTTCCGCCGACACGCGCTCACAGCGCCACCTGCCGCCCGGAGGCCGCCGCTTCGGACCCCATGTTTTACACTTCCACCTGCTTTTTAAGCGCACCAGGTTCAACTCGGGGTTGGGGGGGGCAGTGGGAATTGGCAAAACCTGTGCACGCCCTCGACTCAACAATAATATTTCTAGGAATTCATACTACGAAAACGGCTGCAGTTGTAAGCAAAGATACACGTGCGGGGGCGTTCCCTGCAGCACTCTGTAACAAAGATAACAAAACTAATTGTCTATTGACAGCAGGTTAAATATAGGAAACATATTACCACGCCTTTAAGAAAATGAAGTAAATCTGCACACTTACGGAAGAACATAAGTATGCTTCAGCAAATTCTGGCTCACACCCTCCTGAAACTGCGGGAAGATACAAGGCCTTTCCTTTCGGTCCATCATCAGCATCTGTGTGGTTGCAGCAGGTGGGTGGGAGCTCATCTCCGCATGCCTGGCAGTGTGCCCCTCATCAGTGGATGCTCAGTAGAGATTACTAAAGCCCCCCCCCCCCCACAACTGTGTAGAGAAAGGTTTGAATGGGCAGCTGCTCCTAACAGAAGAGGCTCTAAAATAGAACTTAGCAGGAGCTACATTTAAGGGGCAGAAGAGTAAGAGAGAAGATGAAGAGTTTGCCTTAGCTGGGGGTGACCCTCTTCCTGAGACAGACAGAACTGGCACTGAGGGGGCGTGTGCTTCCCGGCCTGTGTCATCTCAGGAAATTAAGGATTAAGGTTGCCTGCTGAATGCAAGATGAATGCTATGAAGGAGAGAATGGGATAAAATTTGGAATAGCCACTGTAAGGGACTTGACAGGAAGTCATGATACAAAGAATTAAAGAGGTACAAAAAGGGGCGGGTGGAAGGCCAAAGGACTGGAAACAACTATTAGCTAGTGACTTCCCCCCTCAGTACCCCATCAACTTAAGTCGGACATGGCAATGCAGAAGACAGATGCTCTGGACAAAATTGTATTCCTCTTAAATGTTGAAGCCTAACGCCCAATGGGGTATTTGGAGACGGAGTCTCTGGGAGGTCAGGAGGGTGGGAAGGGTGCCTTGATAAGAACAGGAGGAGACACTGGAGTTCACTCACTCTCTGCCCTGTTAGAACACAGAGAAAACGTGGCATGTCAGAAAGACTTCACCAGGAACTGGATGGCACCTTGATCTTGGACTTCCCAGCCTCCAGAACTATGAGAAACAAATGTCTCCTGTTAAGTCATCCCATCTATGGTATTTTGTTATAGTAGCTCAAGAAGACTAAACAGAGTTAACCAGACTTGCAAAGGGAACTCAGCCAGTGTAGGGAGAGAGAAAATCATTAATGCTAAAGAACAGAGCACCGAAATGATTAGTGATAGGAAACAGCAGCCAAGGGAGCCAACAGTGCGGGGAAGGCCACCATCACCCACACTTCTAGAAGTGAAGCTGGGCCCAGAGAGGCAGAGCTGCCATAATTACCCCCTGGTAGTAGTCCTCCCAAAGACCAGAGCCCAGGTATCCTGGCTGCAAGCCTCAAGCCTTTCCGGCCTCACTGCTGTCCTTGCTCTGGGGTCCTGGATACCTGCTGTGGCCCACATGGAAAATGCCAACATGAAACTGCTTCAAACATATTTATTACTATTTTTACACTCTTAAGTTCACTAATAATCCTGCCACACGAGCTGGTGTAATGTGACAGCGGGCCTGGGTTCCCACCTCTGGCCGAGCTGAGCACCGCTGTCCAGAGGCACTGGTCTCAGGTGTGGCAGCTTTCTGACGGGTTCCCAGGTGCAGCATCTCGGATACCAGAGAGGAGAGTGGTGTGAGGACCACCTATGTGCACAAGTCTGTGCTGTGCCGGGGGTGGCTAGCCGCCTTGTACTGGTTCCACACCGTGACTCTGATCTGGGAGCCCCAGAGAACACTCCAGGAAGGTTAAGACATGATCAAGGAATCCATGAGACCATGACTGGGACGTGCTGGGTTTCTGTGGCTCAAAGGCTTGGATGAGAGCTTCATTTTCCAATCACACAGCTGCAACGCAGAAAGGCATCAAAAGGCCTGGCCATGGTATTCGGAACTGAGGAGGTGGCCCAATGGCAGGCTACAACAGCAGCGAGAGCCTGGGTGGCGGTCGCAGTGACTAAGGAGTCCTTCAGTGTCTTCCCATTAACACCCTGTTCCGTGGATGGCACTTCTTATTTTCCAAAGCCCTTTCAATTTATCTGTAGCTTTTCTTCTGGGCACTCTCGCTCACACCCCGTGATGCTCACCGGCGCTGGTTCAGACCTGTCAAGTTCTTGAGCTGATACAGGGCAGAAAAGGGAAGGATGAGGCCTTGCCCTGTCCCTAGGACTCCCGTGGGAAAGACTGGGATTTTCAAGGTGGCAGGCATGGCTGAGACCCAGAGATCTGACATGCCAGGGACCTGGGAGTCAGCCATGATTTTTAATGGCAGCAAAAAAAGGAGGTGGGGAATTTGGGATCAGAGACTAGGGCTGAACACTCTTAGTTTTATTAGTAGCTTTCCGGTATAAAGCTTTTCGGACCCTTGACACATGATGTTAGGACCACAGGGCAGGAGTGGAACAGGAGGAGGGCAGGCGTGAGTGGGGCAGTACTCACCGTCACTGCTGCACCCATGAGTCCCTGCACCAGTGCCTCTCCAGTGGACTTTACCTAGAAGGAGTCAGGGTCAGGTTCTCTTAAGTCCCCCACACAAGCTCAAAGGTCAAACAGGCAGGACAAATCAGGGGGGACTCATGAGGACCCTGTGGACTGGAGGAAGAGCCTACGGACACAACCACAAGTGGTCCAAGTGTGGCTCTTAGGGAAGGGCTGGTATGAGGACGAGCCAGCCCGACTCCCTGGGCAGGCCCTCAGGACTGTCCTCTGAGGCCAAAGGGGAGCAAAAGGACAGGAGACCAGCTGTGCCTTGAGGAGGGTGGTGTCCCTAAAGAGGTGGCTTCCCAAAGGGCTAGCCCCTACTACCTGCTTGGCGGTATGGCCCATGTTCATTGCGTCATTAATCCGGTTATCCAAGAAGCGCCAAGTGTCCTCAAAGTCTGGGGAGGAGTCCTGCATCATCACCAGCTCTGTCGTGTTATAGATGCCAGCCAGCACAGCTCTCCGGGTATACCAGTTAAACTGCAGAGAAACCCAGCCAGGAAGGCGGGTCACCATTATTGCTGTGGACTGGGGGAAGTCTGGGGTGGCTCCTACCCAAAGCCACAGGCTCACGTGGGCTCCCTCCTGATCCCTTCTTTCCCCCAAAGATATATTTGTCCTCCCTGGATAACATTACTATTCTCAAACTTGGCTGGGCATCAAAATTACCCGGGAGATTAAAATGCAAGCTCCTGGGCCCAACCTCCTAGAGCTTAAGAATCAGGGGGGTCTGAAGAAAGTGCAAGGAGTTGGATGTCTGATAAGCATCCCAGGTGACTTCTGCTATAGCCAGTCCATTTCGAAACTGCTGGTGAAAAGACCAAGTCTCAGGCCACCTAAACGCTGGAGAGGCTCTATGGTTAGCCAGTTGAGAGCACACTGCGGTGTGTTTATCAATCACGTGAGGGCGGAGACAACTGAGGACAGATCAGAGCACCTGGGCTGAGCTGAGGGTTCTGGTCCCTTGGCCACTCAGGCTGGCCCAGCAAACTGTTCTTTGCATACTAGCTCAGCTACTTCGTGTTTTATTCCTTTAATTTCTCGGGTTTCTAATTTCATTTTCTCACCACTCTGTTGGTGGTTGTACTCCCACGCGGGGGAAGCTTATTAAAGTCCTTTGTTAGAACTGTGGCAGGAGTATTTCTTTGCCTCCCTAGATTCCACAAGGCACCATCACAAATTAATTTCATCTATGAAGGTATACTTTTTATTTTTTAATTTCCTACCAGAAATATGATAGCATGAGCAAGTCAGATTCTTTCCTAGTGCCTATTTAAAGGTTTACTGATCTCTTGGCAAAGCAGGCCAAAGTGGCCTGGGGGAGGGAGTTTCTTTTCAAAGTAATGGATGGCTCCATGGCATTCTTTTTTTTTTTTTTTTTTTTTAGGTAGGCTCCATGCCTAGCATGGAGATCTCGTAACTCTGAGATCAAAATTCAAGGTGAAATCAAGAGCTGGACATCTAACTGACTGAGCCATCCAGGCACCACCCCCCTTTTATTACTTAATCTCATGCAAGACACACACTGAGAAAGCCCACTGCAGAATCTGAATCTTAGGAGAAAATGTTTATAAAATGGCAGCCTAATCACCACTGGGGTGAGAGGGAACAACTGCTTATTTGTGGCTAGAGTGCTGGCCCTTGGGTGAGGACCTGGCTCCCACTGTGGCTTGTGGAGGGACCTTCCCCACCTCTAGCCTCTCCTTCCCTAGACAGGAATAGCACCGCAGGCCCCCGAAGGGATCTGTGATCAAAGAACTTTCACAAACCTCCTGAAGAAATGCTTAACCCAAACCTTTCCCCGTACCCAGTAGGTTTGCAGAAAGCACTCACGTCAGTGGACTGGTCCCCAGCATAGTGCCACATGTCATCCACCATACTGGTGAGCAGGCTGAGGCTGGATGGGATGTTGTGAGGAAGCATGAGGATGCTGAGGGCCTGAAAACAGAAGGACAAAGAAATAGGACACAGGAACGACAGCGCGCAGGCGGAGGGTGCCTCAACCCTCCATGGAGGTGTGTAAAAGGGCCTGCCCAACTCTCCTGCTGATGCCCACCATCTCTACCCAGCTGGTGTGAGCTCCTGGCAGTTGACCAGCCTGGCTACAGCTGAAGGGAGCCAGGGGCAGATCCTACCCTCAGCTGGCCGGCTCAGCTTCTCCATCTCCAGCACATGGCCTTGGAAAGGCCAGCAGCCAGAGGGTCTAGCCTGGTCTAACAGCCCTGAGAGCAGAGATGAGGGAGGGCACCCCATTCTGTAACATGGAGGAAGAGGCAGAGATGGGAGAAGGGTCCAGGTGCTTTCTAGGTCCAAATGCCAGGCCATTGCCAGGGCCCAGCAGCATTCCTGTCCTCAAAGCCCCACGACAGCTTCTCTGGTGTTTTGCTTAACTCAAGTTGGTTTCTCATACCTGAAACCAAAAAATCCTTCAACTCATACAAGAAATGGCACCACCCAGAGCTGCTTCCTTAGCAGATATAACTCCTGAGAGGACAAGGTCTTATCACTTTACCAACTCAAAAATCCACTGGCTGTGGCCTATGGAGGAGCTAGTCAGAGGCCCTGGATTGGCTGGAAAGTTTTCTCTTATTGAAGGAGCCCACAAGAAAAACATGCTGAATCAGAAGGCAGCTGGGGGCCAATCCAGACTTCCACTGCTTTAACTGCAAGGTGGAATGAGTCAAGGCCAGAGGTCTGAAGATCAAGTGTGGCAGGCACAGGCAGGGGACGGGAGTTGACTCACTGTACTCCCTCCACACAGAGCCCGGGGTTAGGCACAGGTGTTCTCATGCCTGTCCACTGACTGACTGACACCACAGGCTCAGTGGTACCCCAGCTGGGTGGGGGACACAAGATGATCTTGGCTGTCCTCTTGTCCCTGATGTGCTTGGACTCCATTTTCTTAACTAAGAGGATGGCCCATACGGTGACATGCTTGGAAACCAGAAAAAGGAAGCTTCCGAGAAGGGGATAAAAAGCCCTTGGAATGAATACTCTAATTCTCAAGCACCACGTGGACAGCTGGCGAAGCCATCCCAGTCCTCTGACATCCAGAACACCTCAGGCCTGTTAATGGCGATGGCCAAGAAACTCCTCTCATTTTCTAATCTCTGTCACGAATTCCTCCTCACTGAAGAGCTGGTGGCACGCTTGGGCCACCAGGACCCAGCACGGATGTGACCTAGTTCTCTGGGCTACTCACCTTTCTAGGTATTGAGACCCAGGTGTTCCTCCCTCTGGCACTCCCCAGTTTGCACTCCCTAGCTCTACTGAGTGCACTGAGAATCCCAGTATCCCCGGGTCTGTGCAGATGAACGAGCTAACTTCTGCAGAATGTGCAAGGTCCTCTGAGGGCTAGGCACTGAGAACTAAGCCCATGAATACACTGTTACCCTGGGGCCTAGATATGGACACTGTACCCGGGGCCAGTGCTCAATGTACGGGATCAGCATTCTCAGTCTGGTTTCCACTGCGTCCCTCAGGAACTGGTCTGTCTTCCTCTTCCTGGAAGAGGGAAAAGAAAACAGTGTGTCTCCAGGTCAAAGGCATGGGCTCGGTGCTACACCACTTACTCGGCTCTGGGTTGGTGGGGGGCCCACTGGCCCCTGATGCTGGCCTATCACAGACGGGTGGCTGTGTTCCAGGCCCGTCCAAGCAGCAGGGCTGCTCCATGCTCCTCTCTTCTGGCTCTGCCTGGATTGGCCTTCTGGGGCAGACACTGGGGCCTGAGCCTCCCCCCACCCTGATCCCTAGCTGCCACCCTGAGCAGACTTACTCTGCCTGGCCCAGCTGTACCAGCTTCTGCTCCTCTTCCAGCACGCGAGCGAGCTTAGCATTGCACTGGGTCACAAAATGCAGGATCAGCTCACTGCCGTCATTCCCAAACATGCTGGCTGCCGCACTGGACAGACCCAGGGACTACAACAGGAGACAGGGAAAATAGGAGAGTGGTAAACAGATGTAGTGGACCTGTGCTGCCTGTTCCTCACTGGTGCCTCTTTTTCTAGCAACAGCAGATTGATTCTTAATGGGCTAACTCTACTCTTCGTTCCTGGTCCCTGTGGTTTGGGTGAAGCTGATCAGAAGTTCCTCCATGCTCCATCAAGCCCCCTGGTGTATGGTAAAGCATGAGGTCCAGGCTTCGACAGCTGGAGTTCACAGCGACTAGCTCAGGGACCTGCCAGGACCCAACCCAGGCCCTAAGAGGCTGCCTCTGGGCTTCTGCTAGTGCTGATGGGAAAGAAGTGCTCTCTTTCCACTGGGGCTGCTGAACCATTTTTAGTCCTGCATGGGAAGCCCCTGCTGAGAATGAAGCTCACAGAGAGGAAAGCAAAAGAGACAGGACAGAGAGATGATTCCCAGCTGCACAATCCAAGAACACTGTGCCAGAACTACTTCCAGACTTTTCTGTTACTGGATGACCCCAAACACTCCCTTTCCTGCTAGAACTGAGCTCTGACACTAGTAACCTGGAGCCTGACACTCGTAACCTAATACAAAAAAAGGGGCTGGGAAGAGCACTCAGCAATTCCTCACCAGTTCACTTCACCTAAATCTCCTGGAAATTAGGCCTCTCGGTTATTTAAAAAAACCAAAAACCAAAAAACATTTCTCTTAGTGAGTTATTAAGGAGTTAACAAAGGCACGAAGATCCTCAGCTCTTCCTGATATATGGCGATCATTGAGCCGCTACCAGAAGCAGAGCCCTGACAGCACCAGGGACAGAGGGCAGAGAAGGAACAAAAAAGATGATTCACTCCAGTCACCAGTGCTGAGTGGAGACAGAGCTCCTGCCGACCCAGCCTTCCCAGACCGCAGTACGGCCGGCTTCACAACACACGTGCAGAGGCATCACTTCTAATGGGGACGTCCGCTTACCACGTCAGGCGCTCCACTAAGCACATGACACACACCATCTCACTGTGGCCTCGCGGCAACACCCACTGCTGGGCCTTATCCTCACCCACATTTTACAGACCAGGAAACTGAGGCTCAGAACTCACCACCACCAGGCTATACTGCTTCTACTACATGGGTAACAAGAGGCTCAAAAATACGCACACTTGGGCACCGGGCCGGCTCAGAGGGTAGAGCATGCAACTCCTGATCTTGGGCTGTGGATTCAAGCCCCACGCCGGGTGTAGAGATTCCTTAAATAAACCAATATTTACACATGCGAGCACACCCATATCCACATGCACTCTGGACTAACACAGTGAGTTCACGTCTCAGCCCCAAGACTGCCCTCAGCTTCGTGAGGCAGGGGCTGCAGCCCCACCAGCCACCCTCCCCGCCCCGTGCTAGGCAGGATCTGCAGAAGGATGGGGATGGGACTGCGAGGCAGAAGGAAGACTGCAAGGCTGAAGGGGAAAGACGGACCCGGCAGGTCCGCTAGGGGCTCCCGTGGGCATCTCCCCAGCCGCACTTCTTCAACTTGGTAGCAGCGCCCTCTGGCGGCCCAGCAGGACTGGTTCCAGCAAGCCACCACCCTCCCCTGCCCCGAGGGACCCTCTGTCCTAGTCCCCAGAGGGCAGCACTAGCAGCAGCCCAGGAGGCCCGAGTTCTGCCTCCACAGGGGCTCTCCTTCAAGCTTCTCCTTTTAACAATTCCACTTTCTCCCCCTGTCCCCTTAGCCCTGGAGATGGGAGCCACTTCCTGCAGCGGCAGCCTGCATAACACCCTAGAGGGTGCTTACACTGCCAGTGGCCCAGTTACCAACCTTCCACCTAGCTCATCACTCTTTGTATTAAATTCTCTCTATCTGGGGGCGCCTGGGTGGCTCACTCATTAAGCATCTGCCTTCGGCTCAAGTCATGATCCTGGGGTCCTGGGATCGAGCCCCACATCGGGCTCCCTGCTCAGCGGGAAGCCTGTTTCTCCCTCTCCCACTCCCCCTGCTTGTGTTCCCTCTCTCGCTGTGTCTCTGTCAATTAAGGAAAAAAAAAACAACAAAACTTTAAGAAAAAAAAAAATTCTCTCTATGTGAATAACTTAACTGACAGTCTCTGTCCCCTGAGGGATACGCTCCCTGAAACTGCAACCCCACTTCTCCAAATGCACTTAAATGTGTTGCACAAATAGGTTTAGAATACTAAAAAATCGGAAACAACTCAAATGTTTATCAGATGAGATCAAGTAAACACCAAGGGTATTATGCAGCCACTACGAATGAGGAGATAGAGTGAAAAAGACCAGTCACCTGCAGCATAATTCAGTATCTTTCCAAACAATCCTGGTACGGTTCTCTCCTCTGCTTATTCCACCACTTCCTGTAACGATTCTTTCAAATGTTCCCCGACACCCTCAAATCTCTGTCTCCTCCTACCCTTTCCTAACTTCAGGTTCATGAGACAACCACACCTGCTTCCCAGAGAATAGAGGCTGTCTCCGGGGAACTCCCTTAATATTCCAGAAACTAAACCTGCAGCTGTCTTCTCCAACCTCACCCCAATACACCTAAGACTGTCTTCCCACTCATTTTCTGGATCTCCTAGTTCCTGCCTTCAACGGACTTTGTACTTTTCTTTTGCCACTTTCTCTCGTACTTTTACCTCACCCTTGTTTCTGGGTTCTTCTGGCCAGTGTTCAAGCATGCTCACCCTTCCATCCCATTTCCCCTGCAAGCTTGAGACAGGAGAAGTGAATCTGGAGTTCCTCTGCTCACTGCTCTCACAGAGCTCTTGCAGGGCAGTATGTGGCCCCGCCGGACAATTCTGTACACCGCGGCCTCAGCACAAGCCTGCAGCTTAACCTAGAGCAGCTACCTGTTCCTGCGCAGGAGGCATGTACTGAGAAAAATCAGGCGAGTTGGTCTCCTAAACGGTGCCTTCTGGAGAGTTTTCAAACAACCGATTTCATCAGTTCTAAGATGTACCTATTTTATCATTTCTTTCAAGATTTTTATTTTTATTTTGAAGTAACCTCAACACCCAACATGGGGCTCAAACTCACAATCCCAAGACCAAGAGCCGCACAGGCTCTACCAAATGAGCCAGCCAGGTGCCCCCTGTTGGTTTTTTTTTTTTTTGCCCCCCTGTTTTTTATTTTGTTTAAAGATTTATTTATTCATTTAAGGGGGGCAGGGGGAGGGGCAAAGGGGGAAGGAGGGAATCTCAAGCAGACTCCTGGCTCCATGGGGAGCCCGACTCAGGCTCAATCTCACAACCCCAAGACCATGACCTGAGCTGAAATGAAGAGCTGGGTGTTTAACCAACTGAGACACCCCACTGCCCCATTTTTTTCAGTTTAAACAATCAGTGTGAATTATACACCTGACATGTCCTAAGTAGCATTTTCCTTTTTTCAGCGATGCATACTATAATGGTGCTTCTTACAACCACTGGCGTCTTAGACTCAAAGAAATGTGGTAGTTGTGATCACTGGCAACGCTTCCCTAGTGCGCTGCCTTTAGAACTTAGTTCACAAGAACCAACTCTACAGTATGATCTTTCTGTACTAAAAAATAAAACCATTTCACCCTACTGGGGAAAAAAGCCTCCCCTCGCAAAATCCTGGAACAGCGAGGGGCTCAAAGCTGGGCCGGAAGTAAGCATGAGGCAGTCTGCTCAGGCTGATCCCAGCCAGGCCACCCTACCCTGTCCCCTACATACCTGGGCTCCTTCTGCGATGGCCTCTGCTGTCCACCCGTGCGCAGGCACAAAGTCCAGGGCTGCCGTCAGGATGCGGTGCTGCAGCTGCTCCTCGCTCTCATGGTCCTCCTCCTCCTCACCGCCCTGATCTGTGTACCTGAGACCCACACGCAACAGAGATGTGGCAACGGAGCCCAGCACACCTCATCTCCCCGCCTCCTGCGTGACAGGCAAAATGTGCCTGACCAGAAGCCGGAGGCTCAGTGCCTCCTCTGAGCACGTGTCAGGAAGACGTTTACTTCTGTGCCAGTATTGCTATTTCCACACCAATGGGACAAAAGTGATATTGTCTTTCTCTTCTCATATAATCACTGAGAGAGGGGATCCAGGGAGCAAGGAGGCCAGGTCACGGGAAGGCAAATGCCCTCAGCACACTGTTTCTTTATCTGTATTGGTATCAAATGATAACTCCAGGGCCTAGCACAAAGTAGATCTTAAAAAACATATTTGCTGAATTGAAATAAAAGGTATTTTAATTAGGAGACCAGAAAAATGACAGGAACACCCTAATTTCAGAGCTAGAGGAACTTCTCAGTGGCACGATTGAGAAGAAAAAACAGGCAATGGAAATGTAAACTATTATCACCTTCCTGGATGGCGACTTGGCCCCAAGTATGTAACAAAATCCTAAATGTGCAAGTCCTTTGATTCAATGCTCTCACTGCTGAGAGATAATCACATTATTTTTTTATACCAGTGAAGGAAATCTAAATATTCATCAATAAAAGATAGGTTACGAAATTTTATTTTATTTTTTTTTAATTTTTAAAGAGATTTTATTTATTTATTTGATAGACAGAGATCACAAGCAGGCAGAGAGGCAGGCAGAGAGAGAGAGAGGGGGGAGCAGGCTCCCCGCTGAGCAGAGAGCCCAATGGGATCATGATCCAGGACCCCGGGATCATGACCTGAGCTGAAGGTAGAGGCTTTAACCCACTGAGCCACCCAGGCACCCCAGGTTAAGTAAATTTTAATACTGCCATACCACTGGAATATTATGCAACCATTACAGTCATACAGACTGAGAAAACATTAAAAATGTACTGTTGAGTGAAAAAGCAGCTTTTGGAACAGCACGTATAGTATAATTACTTACTATATATAGATTTATGTATGGAATATACTTAGAAAAACGTCTAAAAGGATATTCACGAAAACATTAGTTATTTCTGGGTTTGTGATATCTGGTCATTTTTGCTTTATTTTTCTGAACTTCTTTGTATTGTTTAGATATTTTAGAATGAACAGGCACAATTTTTCCCAAAAAACCCATAGATTCCTTTCACAGCAAACCTCAAAAATGATAGAAGCTGAAAAGGGGGATAAAAAGAAGAGCAGAAGGAGAGATAGGACAGACATATCCGAGCATGCAAAATGGCCAGAAATGGATGAATGGGGGTTCTGGTGCATACCTGGGAGGTGAACGAGAAGATTCTGGATGGGGTTCTTCTGCCTCATGTGTCTCAGAATGTTGCTGAGAAAAAGATGGGGGAGGTGGTTGTTTCTGCTCATCTGTAGTCTTTAGCTGCAAGGCTGAAGCATGGAAGGCACGTGACACCACAGCTGATTGGCAACGGGACGCTGAAATAAAAACTGGGCTGGTCAGTCAGGGACACTTACCAGAGAAGACTCTCTGAAACTCAGAATGGTGCGAGGGATGGGGGAGAGGAAAAGCAGGGCTGAGTCTACTCCAGAGCCACTTATCCAACTGCTGAGTTCCAGGCAAAAATTTTGGGTAAGTTGGCAACCTTGTGATATGATGTGGGGGCAAAAGCATGAGCCAGGTAACTGAAGACCTGGCTTTTGGGCCTGCTGCTATCATTTGTTAACTATCTTTTTTTTTTCTTTTTAAGATTTTTTTTTATCTATTAATATGACAGACAGAGATCACAAGTAGGCAGAGAGGGGCAGGCAGAGAGAGAGAGGAGGAAGCAGGCTCCCTGCTAAGCAGAGAGCCCGATGCGGGGCTCGATCCCGGGACCCTGGGATCATGAGCTGAGCCAAAGGCAGAGGCCTTAACCCACTGAGCTACCCAGGCACCCCCATTTGTTAACTATCTTAATGGACAAACCACTTCGCCCCAGTGACCATGATTTTTAAATATGCAAAATAAGAGTAAAAATCTGTTCGCTCAATGGGAGTGTTGTGAAACCCAATCAAAAAGTGAAAGTGACTTAAAAATGTCACATATTTACATCACAGCAAGAGCACTGGACTAGAAATTAGAAGGTCTGAGTATTGGCTCCCATAGTGTTTATATGGTGTCATCAGACGGGTCATGCAGGACTTGAACTCACTACCCTGAGATCAAGACCTGGGCTGAGGGCACTTGGGTCGCTCAGTTGGTTAAGCGTCTGCCTTCGGGTCAGGTCATGATCCCAGAGTCCTGGGATCGAGTGCCACACTGGGCTCTCTGCTCAGTGGGGAGTGTGCTTCTCCCTCTCATTCTGTGTTCTCCCCTCCCCCCAAATAAATAAATAAAATCTAAAAAAAAAGGACCGGAGCTGACATCAAGTCAGATGCCTAACTGACTGACCCACCCAGGTGCCCCTATTGTTAAAAAAAACCCATACAACAAGTTGAAAGAACTATGGCGTGAACACCTGTATATCTACCATCTAGGTTCTACAGATCTATCACACTCTTCATTCATCATTCCAGCTTAGTTTTTTTAAATCCAGCTTATTTTTGATGCATTTTGTTGCAGCCCTCAGTATTCCTCCCTCTACACATTTTGGCATGCATACCATTAACCAGAGGTTCAATATTTATTTACTGTTCTTTTATTGAGGTGACAGTTATATAAAATGAAACACACAAATCTTAATCGTGCCAATTCTAAGTTTTGACAAAAGTATAGGTACTTGCATAACCTGAACCCCTATCTAGAGAATATTATCACCCCAGAAAGTTCCCTCATGCTCTTTCCCAGTCACTCCCCACTTACACTGTTCTGAAATTTTCACCGTAGTTTAACCAGTCCTACAATTTCATCTAAGTAGAATCATACGGTATATTTTTTGTGTAATAGAGTATATTTTTTGCAGTCTTTTTTAGATGGATTAGTAGTTCTGTGGAAATTATTCTTTTTATTGCTGAGCAGTATTCCAATAAGAAACACTATTCTGCTGATGAACACCTGGTTTGCTTCACCCTTGTCTTTCATGAACAAAGTTGCTATAAACATACTTCTGCAAACCTTTTGGTGGATATATGCTTTCATTTCTCTTGGGTAAATACCTAGGAGTGGCTTTACTGGGTCATAGGCATTACTTTAACTAAACATATGTAGTTTGGAGTTCTGAATATAAACAACAATATTAATACTCATTTTTATAAAAAAAAATCTGAACTCAAGGAACAATGATCTTAAAAGAAATGCAGAACAGTTATGTGTAAAAATCAATATTTTACTATTTGTACAAAAAAATGGAACAAATACCGATAAAACTTTTTGAAAAGGAGGGGAGAAGTCCCCAAGCACAACTGTGGAACCACTGAGGTTCGCAAGAAGATTTCTGATGAAATGCAGGAAATTATAATTATTTCATTAGTTATATATTTATGCTAATGCGTCAATGTGTTCATTCTACTTATGGATGGTGACACTGGTTTTCCATTTACAGTAATAACATAAAGTAACCTCTTCTAAAGTAGACATCTATAGTTTTAAGAATTCGGATGTACAAACGAAGATACAGGTTCTGTTGTGGGAATAATCATAGAATTACTGAAGTGGTGAGAAGTAACTGACTTAGGAAACAATGGACTAGGAGCTCTTTGCCGCTGTTTCCCCCGAGTGGCTCTGCCCGGGGACTTGGCAACAGAGTTACTGAGACTGGGTCCGCGTCTACCAGTCTGCAACTGCCCAGCTGTGTGACCTTGGGCACCCACAGCCCTCTCTGGGGCTCCGTTAACTTCGCTAAATGGGAGTGACAGGCCCTGCTCCGCTACTCTTTGCCCCTCACAGCTCGAGAATCGGGGCAGAAATCAACCAGGCGACCCCTTCGAGACCAGGACGCCGGCGAATCCGCGCCGATGCCCTTCACGTCACCTTGGTCGCGGGCCGCCACGACGACCTTTTCCGCCCCGCACCCAGCCCAGTCGGCTTCGTGCCCCCTCCCTCCCCGACCACGCTCCCCAGCTCGGCCGTCCCCTCACCGGGCAGGCGCCGTAGCTGCAGGAGCCTCCAGCCCGCCCGGCCGAGCGCGCCGGACATCGCCGCCGCCGCCGCCGCCGCCATCCTGGAAGCGGGCACGCTGCCGACTGTTACGCGGCTGGCAGCCCCAGGAGCTCGGTGAGGCCACTTCCGCCCTGCCCGCGCTCCCGCAGCCTCCTCTTCTCGCGAGAGGCGCGAGGTGCGAAGCCGGTGGCGCCGGAGAAGCCGGGCGCGAGAGAGTCCCGGGAGGCAGGTGAGCGTTGTGCGTGCGGCCCAGGAGCTCCATCTCCTCAACCGTCCCACCCTTATCCCTAGAACCTCTTGTTTCCTATTCCCAGCCCCGTCCCTCGGTGAGCATCGAACCATGACCACTTCCCTGGGGAGCACGACGGGCTTTTGCTCCGGGAACCCGGTGTAGGGCACCGGCCGGCCCGGCGTGTCCCGTGCTCCTGGCGCTGTGGCTTCTTCCCCTTCCGGGACTGCCTTGTCTCCCGCGCTGCCGGCATCGATCTGAAACCCCGGAGACAGCTCGCTGATGGGGTAGAGCCTTGATGACCGGGGTCTGAGATCCGCTCCTGCTAATAGCCTGCCGTTGTGACCTTGGGCCTCAGTCCCTCGTCTCAAACACTGGGGGAGCTGAAGTCTCCGTCTTTGGGGGTATCTGAACCCCCAGGTTGTAATTTTGAGGCAGTGAGTTGCCAGACCCTCCAAAGTGTGGAGTTGGTGTTGTTAAATAACAAACTTTTAACCGGGTAACTTGTAAAGATCTAGCTGGCTTTATTCAAGTATTCATGAATCTGGCAGCATCCCATCTAAGTAGAGAGGAGCTCCAAAGAGCTACAGGGAAAGAAGGGTTTTGTTTTAAGATTATTTATTTATTTATTTGACAGAGAGATCACAAGCGCAGAGGCAGGCAGAGGTGGGGGCGGGGGTGGGGAGGAGCAGACTCCCTGTTGAGCAGAGAGCCCAACGAGGGGCTGGATCCCAGGACCCTGAGATCATGACCTGAAGCTAGAGGCAGAGGCTTAACTCACTGAGCCACCCAGGCACCCCGAGAAGGCTTTTATTTAAAGGCAGAGAGGGGGTGAGACAGGGAAGTCATAAAGGGGAGAAAAGAGTTATTTCAAGCAAGGTCACTTTCCTTTGGGGGACAGATGGGGGTCTTTTAGCCAGATTACCTTACTAATGCTGACCAGAAAATTTCAGGCTGACCCCTTAAGATTATATTCCTGGAGAAAGTTGAAACTACAGTTAGGTTAGGTCTTAGGTTCTGTGTGGTGATGATGTGGGCTTAGCACCAATGACTCCATTTTTTAACAGTTTAACTGAAAATATCGCAAACTTGCCAGATCAAAAGAACCATCTAGGATTTGTAGGTGATTTGTAGGATCTGAAGTTTGAGAAAGGCTGGGGTTGTTCATTCTGACATTGAATGCTAATATCTGAGTGACTCAGGGAGGTCACGGACTGGGCACTAAACTGAAAGTATAAATGCAGAGTGCCTCCTCACTGTGATCTGTCATCAGGAAAGGCTTCCTATTAATACGGAGAACTAACTGGTTTGGGGATTAGGGATAACTGATGACAGAAGCTAAGCATGTCACTCTGTAAATTTTGTGTTTGCAGTTGGACCCTTGTCTTTTTGTCTGTTTTGCAAACCCTTATCAACTCTAGTCTTTCCAAAACATCTTGCCCTCTCCTACCTCAGTTGCAGGGGAAGCCCTCCTAAACCAAAACTACTCCCCAAATGTGAAAATTCCAGATCCACATCTTTGGATTTCATTAAAACACTACTGATCTGTCCATGAGGTTTTGTTTTGTGAGTTCTGTCCACCCATCTTCAGTTGAGCCTTTCCTGTGGAATTCTAGCTCTGGGGTGTCCTTCCTAAAACCCTCAATTCTTGACACACACACCTAATTGCCTGAAGACAGTCTTCCATTTCTTTCTTTTTTTTTTTAAACAGGTTTTGTTTTGTTTTAATATTTATCTGATAAAGACACAGTGAGAGAAAGAACACAAGCAGGGGAAATGGGAGAGGGGGAAACAGGCTCCTGCTGAGCAGGGAGCCTGATGCAGCGCTCAATCCCAGGACCCTGGGGTCATGACCTGAGCTGAAGGCAGACGCTTAATGACTGAGCCACCCAGGCGCCCTTCCATTTCTTTTCCTTCAAGTTTCTTGTTTCCTTGCTGATGATCACCTTTTCCCCGTGTGTGTGTGTGTGTGTGTGCGCGCGCGCGTGCGCGCACATGCAGACGCGCACACTTCAGCTAGTTCATTATACTTAAAATTTTCCTTTCTGATAGCGCTCAGTAGTCTCAGAATTTTTTTAGGCACCTGACTCAAGAAGATTTGATCCTTGGTTTGAACTGATATGTTAACTTCAGTCTTACTTATTTTTTTTCCTTTTGGCCCTCTTCATCCTTGAGAGGAGCCAAATGCCTCAAGATTCGAGGTTTATTGGGTGCCTTGGAAATAAACAAGTGCATCTCCAGAAGATCCTTGCAGACCTCTGCTTTCCCATGGGTATGTGTATAGGGCAGTGAGCGCGGGAGAAGTTGTTAACAAACAAGGCCTGTGACATGACAATGGCGTCTTCAACTCCACTTCTTTCTAGATATGAAACTAGGCTATGAGTCACTCTTCTAAGTATGTTGACTCAGACGCCAGACATTTTTTTCCTTCTAGTTTTATTGCCAACACCACCAAACTCTGATGACGGACAGTGTTGTCCTTTGGCTTTTGGATACTTAGAAGAACATTGTCTCCCATTTTATTTGGAAAATGCTGACCAAGAGGGGTGGCTGTGTCTGTGTTTTGAGGGTTAATGTTTAATAAGTGCATTTTATGAGCTCCTTCTTGCCACAGAAGATTAGTTTGGGGTGGGAGGATATGGAATGCGAGCCACTTTGCATTCTTCTAATGTACTGGCACAGTCCCATGGGACCAGTGTCTATGACATCATAAAATACAGCTCTTATACTGTGTAATTCTTTTTTTTTTTTTTTTTTTAAGATTTTTATTTATTGATTTGACAGACAGAGATCACAAGTAGACAGAGAGGCAGGCAGAGAGAGAGAGGGAAGCAGGCTCCCTGCTGAGCAGAGAGCCCGATGCGGGACTCGATCCCAGGACCCTGAGATCATGACCTGAGCCGAAGGCAGCGGCTTATCCCACTGAGCCACCCAGGCGCCCTATACTGTGTAATTCTAACAATGAAAAGGAAGCTTCACATCTCTGCCTAGGGAGTCCTCAGCAGGCATGGCTGAGGAGAGAGGATAGGTTTTCTAGGGACTCTTTGAAGCAGAGGCAAATAAGCTGGCCACCAAGAACTAAGAGTTCCCTTAGAATATCCATTCCTTGATAAGAAAAGAAGAGCACAGCGGACCCATGGTTGACAATCCAGTGGTAGCTAGAACCCCAGTTCATCTGTATTCAAAACCCGTGCTCAGTAAAACACCCTCCATTAAGGTTGCTGGAAAGGTCTAGACACCTGGCATTTTGTTTTTCTTTGGCTAACAGCTAACCTTTTGGTCCTTTCTTTCATGATGGTTTTTCTGTGGGTACCTGTGAGTACAGTGCAAGGTTGTAGTTGGTGGTGGTAGGCCAGGAGCCTATCCCTTTCTATCATCCTGGGTGAACCTGTGTCAATATCATTCTAGAAATAGGTCCTTTATTTCTTATAACTTAATGCCCAGCAATCCATATTCCTGTTGGTTCGTAAATGGGACATTGATCCCAAGTTGCCTACCTGAAAGATTGGTGAGAGTGTCCTTCCTCAAAGGTTTTAGATCTTGATTATGCACTTTTTAAGGCTTTTTTTTTTTTAAGATTTTATTTATTTATTTGACAGAGAGATCACAAGTAGGCAGAGAGAGAGAGCGAGAGAGCAGGAAGCAGGCTCTCTGCCGAGCAGAGAGCCTGATGCGGGACTCGATCCCAGGACCCTTCGGCTTCGGCTCGGGTAGAGGCTTAACCCACTGAGCCACCCAGGCGCCCACTTTTTAAGGCTTTAAGAACAATTCAGTGACTAAGCAATTCTGCTTATCTGATAACACTTGGCTTCCTTTCACTGGGGCTTGCAGTCAGGTCAGGATAAAAAAGAGTAGGCATTCCACATGGAAGCAAATAGATAAAAAGGCATGATTGAAGCAAAAATGAGGAGGTTTTTCATAGAACAAGGAGGGATTCCCTTTGGAGAGGTGGGAGATCCAGAGGGAGCCGGATCGTGGAGGCCTGACTCCAGAAGAATAAGTTTTGGTTTCTCTGTAGAAAGGAAATTCTTTAGGAAACAAATGACAAAATCAAAGTCCTATAGTATTTAAGGATGACGGGCTAACTTGACCATGTTTTATAGACAGAGGAGCCAGTCATTTGAAGAGAGAGGGTAACGGACATGGCTTAAATTCAGTCCCAGAGTGTGGTGGCATCCTTGGGACCCAGTTAGCGACTTCTGCAGAAGCCAGGAGTGTTCAGCCCAACACTGATCTATGCTTGACCTGTCTACCTGGCTTCTGCCTTTATGCCATTCATTAGAGCTATTTTAAGTCGAGAGCTTGATGGCATTAATGTTGAAGAAAGAAAGGAGGAGCTAAGTAGAATGCTGTCGCCTGACCTAATTGCATCCTGAGCGCATTCTAACTCCTCTTCATATCAGGTGGACGAGAAAGTTGACCCATGGTGGTGGCCGCGGGCAGGGGCTCTCCATCAGTTAAAAGCATGGACTTTACAGTCCCATGGATTTGGATTCAAATTCCCACATTTACTAGTGTATGACCTGGCAAAGGCAATGGCTTCAGTGTTCTGTCCGTAAAATGGGGATAATACCTAGTTTCAGGTTGTGCTGAGGTTCAATTGGAATAATGTATCCAAGGTGCTTTGAACAGTGCTTTGAACAGTACATGTGACACACGTGGTAGGTACTATGATCCTTGCAGATTCAATGGGATTGAATTTTCCTATTTTGCTGAAAGTGAAACCATTATTCGATTTGCCAAATTTAAATATGTTGTCTCTTTTTTTAAAAAAAAAAATTAAGCTTGGGATGGCATTATTTCTGCCAATTTATTTGCTTTCCTTGCTGAGTCATACTTTTGCCTAATTAATGTCCCGTG